CTACATGCTTCCCTAATCTGAAGGAATCCTTGCAGGATTATCCGTAGGGCACAAATGAGGCTACAGACATGCTACCCCTGCTGTAACCTCTGACCTCTACACATTCTGCTGAGCTGGTGGAGGTTTATTCTTGTCTTAGCTCTGTGTTGTCAACCAGCGACTGCAATCCACCTGTCTCAGACTGACTCTAGATAACACAGCTCAACATTTGCTTCTGTTGCACTTTAAGATGAGAAATGGCAGATAGATAATTACTCAAACATTCCCTTTGAAAATAAATTTAATGCTGCAAATCCTCCCCTCTGAAACCAAGACGCCTTTTCACTTGCTGACTGCTGGGAAATTATGGAGAATTTCGAGCAGGGAAACCCCAAAATAAACAGATTAACATCAGCAGAGAGGGGGCTCAAGTAGAAGACTATAAGCAGCGTTATTAAGCAGAGTTTGGCAATAATGGAGGTTAAATTTAGCTGCATGCATAGAAATGTGTGTGGGTGAGGAACAAAGACTAGGAAGGAGAGGTGGATGGAAGCAGCAAAGTGAAAAGAATGGGTCACGACTCAGGAGGAACAGATGAAAGCTGCTGCTGTTGCACTGCAGTAGGGATCACAAAGCTGTCAAGCAGCAATTATGCATGACAAAAACCTTATCTGGAGTTAGGATTAATATTTCTTTTTCTAAACAACAGTCTGAGCTATTGCTTGTACAGCACTTTTCAGTATTTTTAAAAAGCTCATGTTAAAGAAATACAGTAAAAGGTGTGTAGACTCAGTTATCAGCTTCTCCCCAGGTCCTCTCCTCTGCATTTGTTTATAGGCAGGCAGCAGAGATAATGAATCATTTAATTAGATTTTTTTGCATCCTCACTAAATGCGTTTCGTTCCCTTTTTCTCCAAAAGGAATGAGCTGGAGCGACAGTTTCTGGAGCTGCTGCAGTTTAACATCAACGTACCATCCAGCGTATATGCCAAGTATTACTTCGACCTGCGCTCCTTGGCCGAGGCCAACAACCTCAGCTTCCCTTTGGAACCGCTCAGCAGAGACAAGGCCCTGAAGCTAGAGGTGAGGGGCCGATACAAATATAAAGACCTGAAATCCAGTTTTTTTTTATTTTTTTTTATATATTTTGTATTACTTTTCCAAATAATACAGTGTGGTACGAATGTACATGTGTATTTTTACACTTTTAAACAAAATACAAAACACAAACAACAGATTGATTTCAAGAGTATGAGAGATACAGGTTCTGAAATCAAGTTTTTACCCTGAGTGCATAAATTACCCCACTTCTTCTACTTAAAAAAGTTTTTTTATTAACTAATGTGTTAAGTTATTTGAGAATTTGAAATGCACCTATCATAATGTTTCCTCTATTTGCAGATCTGATCAGAATATTCACTGTAGCTTGAGCTCTGATCAATTAATTACCTGAAGGGCAGAGGTGATGGAAGACCGTTCTGCAGCTCAATTTTGTATTTTAATTTTAAACTCTCTTTAGCGTACCTTAAAACTAACGCTGCCGCTGTTTGCCTTAGCAAAAAAATGCAGATTTGTAAGTGTAATGTTTTTAAATACGCCTGCAAGCTCTCCGAATCCATCATGATCCATTACAGAATCCAGTGGAGTGTTGCTGCAGCATTCACAGAGGTAGTGTAAGTATGTTTTACATCTTTTCCCTAAATTTTCATAATTTTTATTGCAGGCCATCTCACGGTTGTGTGATGATCAGTACAAGGACTTGAGGAAACTAGCCAAGAAGCGATCGGTGAGCGCGGACAACCTGATGGTGGTGCGATGGTGTCCAGCCATCATTTCCTAACACTGGTCTTTCTCAGAGGAATAAATAGACATTTGCCATATTGTTGCCTGAAAAGCAGGGAGGCAAGCTGGGCCGCTGACTGTGGACCAGTGGGGCAGTCTGGAATACATACCAACACAAACCTCCACTCAGACTGGAACCTAAACATAAAGAGTTTGCCCTCTCTCTCTCTCTCTCTGTCTCTCTCTGGCTGTTGTACATAAAAGGTCCAACTAGCTGCTGGAATCAAACCAAACTGAGCTGACAGATGCTGAATGCAGATCTGAGCTGCAGGAGAAAAGCAAGGGAATGGAAATATATTGAGACTGTGAAGATGGAAAAAGTTTCAATTGCAAAACCTACAAGAAACATTTTTCTTTAACACTCCGCCGGTATGTACATCCGATTAATGGATGTTGGTCACATTCCTTCAGTTTAAATCTGCTGGTTTAGGCGTTTCCTTCATTGGATGATGACATCACCGTCTTACATCCCATACTCACATCGCAGTTTATTTTTACAATATCCGCTTATATTTTTACATATGTTTGTACATTCCATTCTTTAGGTGAAAACATGCTATTCCTGTTACTAGACCACATATCATCAAAACAAATAAGTACATAAATCTATCCATATATCATCAAATATTAATTCAGAGAGGATAAACCCACTGAGTATAAATAAATCGGCGGCTATTTAGCTTATCTAAGTACTAATTAGATTGAACTTTACCTCAAGAATCCCGACAGGAAACTGCTAATCCAACCTTGAGGTGCAGAAAACTCCAAGCTCTATTAAATAAAGCAATATCCATTTCATCTGTGCTGTTAGCATGAAATATGCTGATGTTTGGGAGAAGACTGCCTTTAAGGCAAATGGGAGACATACTGTAGATGTGATGTGTCCACTGCCATTGTCCTGACCGGCGGTATATGTAATTAATGCTATTTAAACGCCTTTACCTTCTCTTTTTCAGGAGGAGGAAAAAAATCATAACATTTTTCTGATTCAGTATATTTTTATTGCTCTTCCATCTTCAAAAGAAATTGCACAATATAGAATATCAGTCTAAAATATGATTTCTTTTTTGGTCTTAAGACCGAAATGAAAAAAAATAAAAAATAAAAACATTGTTTTCCAAATAAAAAACTGTTCAGAAAATGAGACTGTAATCATTTTCAGAATTTTCTTTGTACAGTGTAAACTGATTGCCAGTGACCTTTAGACAAATGGTATATTGTAAAAAAGAGGATGCAGAATGATGTTAGAAATATTTATAATATCAGTTTTTATGGAGGGGATTATATGTATGGTTTTGTGCTCCTGTGACAAATCAAGCTGAAATAAGTGAAGTATTGAAAATTAAAATGGGAGACACCACTAAAGGTTTTACTTCTCTGCTATGTTAACATTTCAAAGACAGAAATCAGTCACTATTTAATGTTTTATTCTTTAAACGGTGTTTTGATTTCATAAAACACAGTAAAGGTAATTTAATACTTCTTTTCAAATAACTGAATTACACCATGTTTTCAAAATTTAAATATAATTTTTTTATTTTCTGAGCCCAGAATTTGGCAAAAAACAGCCATAAAGGTCAACATGTTTCTAAAAGTTTAACTAATAAAAAAAAAAAAAAATGGATTAATGTCCGTTTTTGTTTTGCCTTCACTTTGTAATTTTTTTTCTTTTTTTCTCTCCTTCCTCTTGAACATTTATTTATTTTCTCTATAATCCTTTTTAAATTTCGCCCATGGCTTGCTAACGTATTTCTAATATCCTATATTAATAGTTAATAGCCAGTCTTTTTGTTTATGACATTCAAAATCATAGTTCTGTGGATTCAAACACCAATTTGTTTTAGTGCAAATATTCTCTAAACACAGCAAAGTTAGCTGCAAAGTTAGCATTCGTTTTCCGACACTTTCTTGTCTCAGGGTAATATTAGCTGACCTAATTAGTGTGATTTATTTACAATAATGTCACAGTTTGCTGCTTAAAATGCCAGAGATTTTGTTTTTATGTCATCATATAAAGTCATTTACATCCATTTATTTCTAGTCAGATTTCTAAAGCTAGTTTCTGTTAGCTACGTCGCTTTCACATTTTCGCTAGCTAAAATGCTGGTTTTGCTTCACTCTATAGCATTGTTACCAAATTAATAGTTTTTTTTCTTCTCAACCTAACTAACAAAAGTTGGACTGATGAAGAGAGTTTTGTTTTATTCTATTTTGGTTTATTTATACATATTTTTTTTATTTAGTCATGTTCAGGATTCCTGGGAATTCTAATTCGTTATATATTTAAACAGTATTTCCCAAAACACCTTACTTCCTCTAACAAAGAAAACAGAGCATAGGATTTAAAAAAAAAATCAAACTAACTATAAATAATGTTGATTATTAGGGAAAACATGTTAGAGAAACATTTTCTTTTCTCATTTTCTTTATACCAGTGGTTGTTTGCCTTATGATCAACTAGACTAATTTCTCCAAGACATCGCTGCAGGCGGACATTTTTATAAAATAATGTGCGAATGCCTTGCAAACTATTTCTGTTGCCTTTTTCTATTAAAAAAAACTTGTATATCATTCAAATTCCCATGTTTTGTGCATTTCATCGGCATCCTTCAGGGCTGTATTTTTCATTGCACTGTTTTATCAAACTGCTAATGAACCAGTCAGTCATTTTGGGCCATCAAGCTGTCCTCCATCAGTGAGAAGGGAAAGAGCTCAACCAAAGTCAAGAAGAAGAAATAAAGCATGATGGTTTCCAGTGTGTTGCTCTGACTCAGTCCACTTGCACATTAGTTAATGAGTCTAACTCTTAAAAAAAGAGTCTATGGGGCTTTGAATGAGTTCAAAATAAAAGTGTGTGTAGGAAAGTGATGTAACTAGAGTTGCTCAAACTGTTTTCAAAGATTGTATCTTGTATTTATTGTATGCGTGTGAACATACCTGATGTTTTCAGCACAGAAAAACTGAGCATCAATGCCATTTGGTCAACTTTGATGAGTTCTAAGGTGGGAAATGTACTATTCTGACAGCGAACCAGCAGCTCGTAGCGCTTCGTTGGTCACTAGATGAGCGTAGCAGCACTGAACTCTACCTCTGCATAGAGTTACTTTTTTTTCTATACTTTCATTCCTCTCTACTACCAATGATTTTTGCATTGAGCTTCATGCTAACGGTTCACTACTGTATTTGAACTTTTTAAGTTTTTTTGTCTTTTTTTCCCCATTGATGGATATTTTCTGAGTTGTATTCTGTACTTATGTTTTGTGTATCCCAGTGAGTCTAATTTGTGTTTATTCTTGTTCTCGGTTTGCCAAATAAGTTTTTTTTTTTGGTGTGTGTTCTCAGCTGTGATTTGTGTCTCCATTTTTCTCTGAAGCAATGTTTAGGAAGAAAATGTGGCAAGAATTAAAGTAAACTCTTGCAATACATGGTGAGAGGCTTTATTTTCACTTTTCCTTTGCCTCATTTATATCTAACACCACTGGAAAATGACGAGCTAGCTGCAAAACTTTCCATCCATCCATTTTCTAACACGCTTAATCCCAAGTGGGGTCGCGAGGGGTGGTGGTGCCCATCTCCAGCTGTCAATGGGCAAGAGGTGGGGTCCACCCTGGACAGGTCGCCAGTCCATCGTAGGGCAAAACAAAGACAAACAACCATTTATGCACACACTCAAGGGCGTAGGTTTGATCTCAACTTTGGTAGGGACACTATTGGTCTTAAGTTGAATTAGTCTGATGTCATTAGTCCTATGCATTATGCATGCTGCTATTTTTTTTATGCTTGACGTTAGCATCAGGCGCATTTAGTGTAAAGAGAAAACAGAATTTTTTGCTACATTTATACAAATTTTATAAGGACTACACACAAGATGCTGTTTATCAATGTCTGAGGCATCAGTGGCTTGGAGTAATGTAAAATTGGGACAACCTTAAACTTTGAAATGGGTTACATTTGACTTACAAGTGACTAAGACGGAAGGTAAATACGTGCCTTTTTAACCAAATATAGTATAAATATGTCTTTTGTATGTGTATTTATGGAGTATTTTCTATAGTTATTATGCAGAGGTAAAACCCACTTTTATTTTTTTAAATCTGATAGGCTGATATTCTCTGCATTGTAAAACAAAGCAAAATGACATATTCAAGGGACTGCAAATAGTTATTGTATTTACATGGGAGTGGGAACTATAAGAGGAACTGACACTGAGCATTTAAAATATTGACTTCAATATACAAGTTGTGAGAAAAGAAGCAACTGCTGCAACAACGCTGAATTGTAAATTATAAACATGTTATTCACATAGAATTATTGGTAGGGACAAGTAGGTCGAGCCAATATTTTGGTAGGGACATGTCCCTATGGTCCCTATGCAAACCTACGCCCATGCTCACACTTAAGGAAAATTTAGAGAAGCCAATTAACCTAACAGTCATGTTTTTGGACTGTGGGAGGAAGCTGGAGTACCCGGAGAGAACCCACGCACGCTCAGGGAGAACATTCAAACTCCATGCAGGAAGACCCCACGATAGGAATTGAACCCACAGCCTTCTTGCTGCAAGGCAGCAGTGCTACCCACTGCTACACCGAGCAACCCCGCTGCACAACTAACATTCCTGAAATAAACGGGTACCTTTTTTTTAATCCAGCATCTTCGCTGTTTTTGGTCTGCAGCCTTATTTTACGTTGATATAAATAAGATAAGATGTTTCTTGCTGCTACTTTACTGCTTTGATGG